ATAATACATAAATAAATTATTCATAAAGAGCTGAATGACTGGATACTTAATGTAACGTTAAACTAAGACGTTATATATTCAATTTCTGTATAATTTTCATTTGCAACAAGAATTAGAATTGTAGGATTAATTATTGAGCATATTGAGTTGATATTACATATTGCATGAAATAATTCATACTTAACTGTTTTATCCAATAATATACTAGCGTCATAAATAATAACCCAACTCGTATCAGAATTTAGTGTGAATGATTTTCCATTGTCATTTGCAGTATATATAATATATATATATATATATATTAGGGTGGCCTTAAAATGGTCATTTTAATTCCTGCTCCCAGGGGCTCAAATGGTTCCAAATAGATAAAAACAATTCTCTGAAAATTTTGCTCTTAATATTAACGTTTAGATAGAGCGCAATTCATCAAAGTTTTGTATGGAAATAGCATAGAAAAATTTTCAAAAATTTCAATGTGTTTTAGATGTAATTTAGCGAACAAATGATGAATAAAACTCATCATTTGTCGCTAATTATACCTAAAACATTTTTTTTCATTTTCAAAATTTTTTCCATGCTCTTTCCATACAAACTTTGATGAATTGCGCTCTATCTAAACGTTAATATTAAAAGCTAAATTTCATTGTTTTTTTCAATTGGAACCACTTGAGTTAATTCGAAAATGACTATTTTAGGACCACCCTAATATATATATATATATATATATATATATATATATATATATATACTTCTGTACGGGTGTATGATTTGATACTTCTCCTGAACGGTTATTCGGATTTTGATAATTCTTTTATAGTTTGTCAAGAAAATTTTTAAGATTTAATGAATGATAAAACTAAAGTAATTTTGTAGAAATAAATGGCAAAAATTATAAAAAAATTATCATTGTTTGACATTAAAAACATTTGAACTGGCATCTGCTTGAAATGTCAATTTACTTGAAATTTGAAATTAGGTAAAATTATGAGCCTAAATAATATCAGAATATGATAGACAAGAAAATTTAATGTCTACATTATCATTGCCGAAAAGCAGTAAGATGAGATGTGCCAGAAGTTAAAACAATATAAGATACAATATATGATGTTGGCAGATGAAATTATATAATTCAGTTTAATAAATAATGCATAAGTCCAAAGTTGCATATTTTTTTAAACTTATGCATGTCGCATTCTTGTTTACCTTACTAAATTATTTAACAATACAAAAAATATTTATACTTAAAAAATGATTTAGAATTTTGTTTCATGTGTCAAAAATTAATTTGTTTGGCATTGGATATGAAATATTTAGCAAGTTGATCTTAAATTGAAGAATGCTCATATGAACTAGATTTCACAAATTAATTCACCTAAGATTTGAACATAAACAATAATTCTAAATGTACTTTAGAAATTATAATTGCCAAAAAGCAACTAATATATCGTACGAGATTTCGAAAATTATAGACTAAATCATTGAAGCAATTATGTTGTGTGGTAAAATCAAGTGTGATATTGTTCTTTTAACGTAAGATACTATATTTTTTTGAAGTTCTTATACTGCTTATGCTAAGATCATAAATGAATCACAAAGGTTTACTTTTGAATTGTAGACGAGGGTACAGGACACCGTCTGCTGGGTCATCTATATATATATATATATATATATATATTTTATTAATTCCAAAAAGCATACTTAACATACCTAACAAAATTAATATCGTTTCACGAATTCTTCATCAAAATCATTGATCAATTATAACATCACCGTAACATTGATCTGTTTTTTTTTTATATAAAAATTGTACTTAAATATCGGGGTTTTACCCTTCACATATATCTCGATGTTTTCGACCCTTTCGTACATCATAGATTACACAATTAATCCTCCAGGGGCAAAGAATTGGGGATGCTGAAACAGCTTGCTCAATAATCATAAATGTGTTAAATAATGCTGAGAGAAATCATTTTTGTCTTAAATTTTTGGAAAAAATTGTACAGTTGTATAATACATATATGTATACTAGCTGACCCGATAAACGTTGTTTATCGATATAAAATATTTCTAAAAAAATTATAGTATAAAAAGTAACTGATTGTGAATATAGAACTATATGGTAAATAAATGGAAGGGACAGCTATACAAATTATATGGTTAGTTTACCCACTGCAAAGCCTGACATATATAAATGTTTATGGGTAATACTAAATTATTCGATAACTAAAGTGATTATTACAAATATGAGTTGGAAGGTGGTAGGAGGGTGAAAATTTAGGGTTGTACGGTTTAGTTACGAATTATGAATAAATAATATATAAAATTTAAAGTTAAAATCGATGTTGTGATTTTCAGTCATACTGAACGTTGTTTATAAAAAATTCAGCAAATTGGTCCAACCATTTCGGAAGAGTATTGCGACGAACATGATACGATAATTCTGTATTTATAATATATATATATATATATATATATATATATATATATATATATATAATTATTATGGTAGTATACCAATGTTCAATATTCCAAGGATATTTAAATTAATCAATCGTTTATATCTGCTTGATCATGCAGCCGTATCTTAATATCAAGTTCTCAATATCAAAATATATACATGATAGCTTTGTCGTTGGAAAATACTTGAACATATCGAAATTCGAGTTAGTTATTTATACTATATTTAATAATATTTTTTTATAAATTCTTCAAACACTCTTGAAATTTTTTAAATGTAATACAAACTAGTGGTGTATGGCATCGTGCCTTAAGATAAATTGCTGGAATTTCCCGTACGGTAATGAAATATTCGAAGAATTTTAAATGTTTTTGATTAGATTATTATAAATACTGTAACCTTCATTTTCCGTATTTTACTATTTTATATATAAATTATGAGAGCTTTTAATTGGATGACAACGTTTATATATGTTTACATAAAATGTAAATAAACAAAACTTAATCAAATGGAGTTAGAATGAATCTCATATTTCTAAGAATTTTATAAACTGAATTACAAAATTTAAATTATTTATCTCACGTATATAGGTGAGCTTTGGAATTTTAGGTAGAATTAAAACTTTAATCTGAGTCATTTTCAGTATTAAAAAAAAATTAAATCAAATTTTTTTTGAAATTTTGTAATAGAAGAATTGTTTTGTCTTTACCAAAAACTAATAGTTTCTTTACGAATCATTCGAATCGGATGCTCAGTTTTGTCAAAAACTTTATTTTTTATCACTTTTTGCTATGTACCTCCTAAACGGGTGTAATTGCCTTTGGTAAAAACTACCCATCACATCTTGCCGACAATACGAATCGAATGTATTCTGAATCAATCCAATCGGAGGTCCCGTAATCGCAAAACCAAAATTTTTGCAAAAAATTGGATTGTTTTATCAAATATCAATTTTTTGCACCTTCTGCCCAGAATCTTTCAAATGGCTGATCCTGATTGAACCTTTCTCAATAACTAATCAGCATGTCTTCTAGTTAACATGAATCGAATGCTTCTTAAATCATTCAAATTGGTTGATCCGTGCGCCAAAAATCGCTGACGAAAAATTGTATCCATACTAAACACACACAAACACACATCCATTTTTATGAGGTATGACAAAATGTTCAGGGGGTCTTGAAATGTGCAGATATGCATAAGCATTTTTTCTATTCTTGAACAATTATATATAACTTACCCTACGGGAATTTGAAAATTGTATCCATACAACACACATACTACACACACACAAACACACATCCATTTTTTATGAGGTATGCCAAAATGTTCAGGAGGTCTTGAAACGTGCAGATATGCAAAGAATTTTTTTCTATTTTTGTACGATTACTATAACTTACTCTGCGGAAAGTTAAAAATTGTATCCATACAACACACATACTACACACACACAAACACACATCCATTTTTTATGAGGTATGCCAAAATGTTCAGGAGGTCTTGAAACGTGCAGATATGCAAAAGAATTTTTTCTATTTTTGTACGATTACTATAACTTACTCTGCGGAAAGTTAAAAATTGTATCCATACACACACATACTACACACACACAAACACACATCCATTTTTATGAGGTATGCCAAAATATGTTAGGGGGTCTTCAAACGTGCAGATATGTAAAATAATTTTTTCTATTTTTGGACGATTATTATCACTTACCCTACGGGAAGTTAAAAATTGTATCCATACAATACTCATACTACACACACAAACACACATCCATTTTTATGAGGTATGCCAAAATGTTCAGAAGGTCTTGAAACGTGCAGATATGCAAAAGAATTTTTTTTGCCATTTTTGGAAGATTGCTATAACTTACCCTACGGGAAGTTAAAAATTGTATCCATACAACACACATACTACACACAAACATGGGAACTATGGAAAGTTAACAATAATATAAAATTTGCAGTTTTCTTATTTATTCAGCTGATGTAATTTATATTACAATTAAATGTCATATATATATATATATATATATATATATATATTATAAAAGTGACCGACGTTATATTACTGATAAAATAAACGGGGGCAATCAAAAAGTGCTGAGTTTGCATTCCTTTTGAATTTCTCATAATGCAATTTAACTAGCAAACAACGAACATAATTTATTATTGAAAACAATAACATTTTATAACGACAGAATGATGAAGTACGCCTTAATCACAATGGAACAACAATTGTTTTTATTATTACAATGTTACGAAATTGTTAACAAATTTATACCAGAATATAATTTCATTCATAAATCATACTGTAAAGATGCATCACTGGATGCAGATCTTAGCTTTTTCTTTCTTTGTTCCATTCTAAGCCATGCAATTGATTTTATATCTCTTGTAGATAGATGATCAAATAAAATAATAAAAAAAGATTATAATTTCTGGACACAAATGCAAAATAACAAATTGACGGTTCATTCAATCTTGCGCAAGACTAGTGCAAATATTTTCTCATTATCATATGTTTAATTTATACATACCTGTTGTTTAACGTTTAATAATGTTCATCAAGATGACAAATCAATAACAACTATATATAAAAATATGTAATAAAATCACAAACTGACGTCAACGTGCACACAGAAAAGAAACCATTCTGGTTTTTTCGCACAACTGCATTTATATTTCACTTAAAATCACTCGAATGGAATGGCATGAAACTGAAACGGTGCTGCTTGTTATTGATTGATTTATTTCATTTATTAGAGGAGTCTCATTAATACAAATTTACAGACGGTGCCGGATCGCGCGTGTTTTATACGGACGTAAAACTTTGACCGCGTGGTGTTCGGCATTCAGTGCGCATGTCTACACGATCTCGGCTGAACTGAGCCCGAACGCGAGTCGACGCCGCCGACTCCGAGTAATAGATACGGTTCGCTTGGCGCTGGCCGCGTGGTTCGGCTTTTCGCGTACCGTAGGCGATTAGCTGGTGGCTCGCGAGATTGTTAATCAATTGCTTTGGTAATGTGTCATGTTCATATGATAGTACGTCTGGTGCATACTTTTATTAGCTTTAACTAGTGGTGCATGGTATTGTGCCTTAAGGCTGGAACTTCCCGTTCCGTAATTTAACTTTTTTCGAAAACTTTGAAAAAAAATATACACTTGATATTTTTTTGTAAAAAAATCTCTACTCCATTACTCTACTCTTAAAAATATTCAAATCCCTTGAATTTTTTATTTAATTTAATTTTTTTTTTAATTTTGAAATTTTTAAAAAATTTAAATTTTTTGAAATTTTCAAAAAAATTCAAATTTTTTGAGAATTTTTAATCTTTTGAATTTTTTTTTAACTTTAATTTAATTTTTTTTGAAAATTTTATAAATATTTTAAAAATTGTAATTTTCTTGAGAAATTTTAAAAATGGACTGTTTTCTAATTTTATTGGGGTTACGTCAATACAAACCAAACGTTTTTTGAATTATTCAAAACAGACGCTCCGTTCTCTCAAAAACTGAATTTTCAATTTTGGCAATTTTTTATCCGCTTCTTCGAAACAGCTGGACCTGCCTTTGCCAAAAACTAATCAGCATATCTGCACATTAATGCAAATCGAATGTGTTTTGAATTTTCAAATCGGTTATTCCCAAAATCGTCGACAAAAATTTGTATCCGCACACATACACATACATCGATTTTTTCTAATTTTACTTTTTTGAGAATTTTTAAATTTCTTGATTTTTTTTTAATTTCAATTTTTTTGAAATTTTTAAAAACTGAATTTCCATTTTTGGCGATTTTTGCCCCACATCTTCGAAACAGCTGAACCTGCCTTTGCCAAAAACTAAGCAGCACATCTCCCCATTAATACAAATCGAATGTTTTTTGAATTATTCAAATCGGTTGATCCGTTTTCCCGAAATCGTCGACGAAAATTTGTATCCGCACACACACACATACATCCATTTTTTCTTATTACACTTTTTGGAGAATTTTTAAATTTCTTGATTTTTTTTTAATTTCAATTATTGTTGAAAATTTTAAAATCTGAATTTCCATCTTTGGCAATTTTTTCATCGCATCTTCAGTACAGCCAAAAACTAATCAGCACATCTCCCCATTAATACAAATGGAATGTTTTTTGAATTATTCAAATCGGTTGATTCGTGTTCAAAATTGTAATGCACACACGCACATATATCCATTTTTTCTAAGGTATGCCAAAAAGTTCAGAATCCTATGAAACGTAAAGATAAATAAAATTTTTATTTCTGATATTTATAAACTTACCCACGGGAACTTAATTATACTTTTGAGAATTTTGATATTAACACTAAACATACCATGACGGGTCAAATGACCCATTTTGAACTTTTGCATTTAAATGCACGTATAATTTCATTGCGTTTGCACATTTAACTTCATGACTTTTTTTAAGTAATTAAAGTACAGTTATAAACAATTTTTTTTCTTGTTTTGTTTTGTTTATTCTGAGTTATCCTTCTTGTATACCGATATCTACCACAATGGGTCATTTGACCCGGAGAGAATTTTTTGGTTTATGAGATTGTCGAGTCATATTTGTAGTCAGTAAATTGCACATTCTTCTAAACACTGTTGCGTACAGTAGTTCAACGAAAATAGCTCAGAATAATTTCAAGAAAATATCAAAAATTTTAGATTGAAAATAGCTTTTTATTGTTAGAAGAACCTAGCTTATATTTTATTTTGATAGCTATAGTAATACAGGTTATTTTTTACCCGAAAAATGTCGAAGCAAACAAGACATTACAAGTTCTTAAAAGATATAAATAATATTGGCAAAGAATATTCAGAAATTAGTGAAGATGAATTTTCTGAAAATGAAGATATTCTGGTTGAAAATGAAAATGAGTTTGATTCAACAGATACCGACGATAAAGAAAACAATGGTAAACGTTTACCTGAAACTGTTTCATATTACAATAAAACCAAATTTGGTGTAGACATGACCGATCAAATGGCGAGAAAATTTACTACAAAATCCAAGTCTTGCAGATGGCCTCTCCAAGTTTTTTTTCAATATCCTTGATTTAGCTAGCATAAATGCCTGGATTTTGTACAAGCAAACGACACGAGAAAAATA